GTACTAAGCTGGGGGCACCGTCTCAGAGATGACAAGCACACACGCACCGGCAGCGAGACTAAGGGCAAAAGCAAGGCTCAGCTTTTTCCCTTGAGGCTGCGCTGACTCAACCAGTATCCCCTTAGCGTGTTGCGCAGTGCGTGAAACTGAACACACCACCCCTCGACCTGAAGGGTGGCTGCTTTGTCATGTGAGACGGGAAGAACGCGGCCTGCTACGAGGATTCTGAACAGGGCACCCGCCATCCCTGTGACTGTAGATGCTTTGAGAAATGCGACATCGAAAGACGACGACAGTTACGAGAATGGCGCCTCCGAGGCATCAAAAACGAAGACAGGATAGGTCAAAAGTCAAAATTTGCCTCAGTCGGTGTAGCCGAGTGCATCCACGCCTTGTGAACCGCCTCGCTGCTAATTATAAAGATAAGCGCGCATCACAAGGCATCTCCGGCTGACTAAACGCTGGATCTGCGAGCGCAACCTGCCATGCGGCAGCTATTGCGCATGTTCTGTCCAAGTCTTGAAGGAAAGGCGGCCACTTGGAGCCTTGAACTCGTAGCAAGTCCACCTCGAGCTGCGGGGTGAGTGAGGTTGTTTTCGCAGAGAAAGCACTTCAAGATTCATGCATAGACTTGCTCCCTTCAGTCTAGCAAGTCAGCACCCTTGCCCGCTGACGAAAGCTGCTGGAGCACGCCTATAACAAGTCTTCTTGGAAAACTGCAAAACTGTAGGAGGGGAGCGTCTGCTGCGGGATGTGTGTTTCACTTCTCCCCACTACAAGGCTTATGAGTCAGCACTGGTTTGCTTTCCGAATTCAACCTGACCCACACCTGCTGTCCGGTGGCCTCTAAACCGCCTTCATCTGCGGCATTGATCCAGGTGAGGTTGCCATCCAGCATTTTTTTCTTCCACCATGAGCCGGCTTGTCACACTGGGGTGCTGGCTGAGAAATGCAACCTTCCACTCGGAGTCTCTGGTCTGAACAGGAAGCGCAGAGCTCTGAAACGAGGGCACTCAGGAGGCCAGCGTGGAGGTCCAAGGCCGCAGGCTGCCATGGCTGCTTTGTCGGCTGCTAGGCGATTGTAGTTGCCTTGAGATGACACTGCTGCTCCCAGCGGCATGCTGCACAATGCAAGACTTGATGTACCTGCCGTTTCAGAACTGATGAGAACCTCCATCTTTTGATTACTCTCACTATCACCTCAGCTCCACCTCAATTCAAACCTATGCCGGCCCGCACGCTCAACCCTAAACCGTGTGCACCTGCAACTCCCTTGTAATCCCTGCATCTGGCAATTATCCTCTGTACCCTCGGAGCTTGTACCCTTGTGTTTGAATCCGTAACCTATGGATTGCAGCACACAATTGGCGTATTTGGGACCCGAACTACAGTTACGAAGATCGCCTTCCATGGGGTGAAAGGGAGCTACTGACACGGTGACAGGGAACCATATATATATATATATGTATATATACATATATAGGGTATGGGGTATATGGGGTATAGGGTATATAGAGTATATATGCAGTATAGGGTATAGGGTCTTGTTTCGGTTGGGGCGTCTTACGAATTAGGGTTTAGGGTTCTATGGAGGGTTTAGGGTGGTTGGGTGGAGATAGTTGTCCCTTTAGAGGGGCATATGGGGTCTATGCAACATGTGTGAGTTAGGGTTTAGGAACGGAAAGGAAAGGAGAAAATACTTCACCTTTTTCCGTCTGCTGGTGGGAAAGCCATACCACACCAGGCCCTTTATTGCACGACGCTCACCTCTGGGGGCTTAGTGCTTCGGACGCCAATAATTCCAACCAATAGAAAACATGAAAAATGAAATGGGAACTTGGTTAAGATGAGGGGCTGTAAATGTAGGGGCCTAAATACTTACCA